TCAAAAAATATATATATATCCTATGGGCTATGAACATTACGTCGAACACATCCTGGTCTACTAAGTAGCTCGAGCTTCTACTGTACCTCAGCAGTAACAACTAAACCTTTACTACGAAAAGGACGCGCACACGAATGAACTCAAATTAGGAAAGGCAAAAGGTTCAGCTGCTGAGATTGGAGTTGTTGTACAGCTTAATCCTCCTGCTGATCTCCTTCTCCAACTCCTCCAGGCCTCCCACCTCCTCCAGCTCCTGAAATCCAACACAAAAGAAAAATAATGGCATTAAATGTCTGTGGCATCGGCAACGCGGTCCCGATACCTTACTCGTCGTATGCTCTCACCTTGGGTCCCAAGAACAGTCCATATGGCACCCCATCGAACTTGTCCATGTGGTGGATCTGTTAGTAGCCAGACAAAAGAATGCGAAATATATTAGATGGTCCACACTCTTGGTGTTGATCTAACCAAAGGTGAAGAAGGCTCGGCCGTCTCGGGTCCGGACAGGGTCCAGGCTTTTGACGGCGCCGGCGGTCGGCGATTACCTGATGAGCGGCTGCCACCCGGCGGAAGTATGGCACGTTGGCGATGGGGCCCACGGGGAACCTGCGGTGGACCAGCCCGTCGTGGACGAACATATAGGCCATTCCGAATAGCGTAATCCCTAGGCCCTGTAGTTTTTTGCCACGTTGAGTTCGCATCATCAACGGGAGATAACAGGTCATCGAAGAAACCAGGGGGCGGGCGGGCTTACGGCGCCGAAACAGAGGCCGGGGAGGAGGCCGCGGTTGAGGAAGCCGTAGGCCATGAGGGAGATGGCGGGTACAGCATTGATGATGGCGAAGACGTCGTTGAGCTCAAAGGGGCCGTCGCGCGGCCGGTGGTGCGACTCGTGCATGTGCCACAGCGAGGCATGCCATAGCGCTCGGTGCGCCCACCGCGCCCAAAACTCCATCCCCACCTAAAACCACCCACCAAAATCGGATCTTCTTGTTTAGTGACCACAATGTACGATAATATATTGTAAACGATACTGCTGCTCAACTAATTCGTCACATCACTTCGACCAAGCAAAGGAGAAGAAGAACAGAGAGAGCAGCGCTTACCGCCGCACCGACGGAGAGAGCGAACGTCCCGAACATCTCCGTCAGCGGAACTTCTCCTCCCTGCGGTAGAGATCAATCGACGTGCTACGGGTTAGAAAAATAGAAGAGATCCTTTGTTGGATCGAATTGAATCGAGGACCGAGTCGTGGGACAGAGCGGCCAACCTCCATTTGCCACGAGAAACGGTAGTAGACGGACGCGACCGCCATGGAAGTGATGCCGAAGCTGGACATCACCGCCGCGATCAGGTAGGTCCGCCTCTCCGACTGCTTCCTCGCCATCCTCTCCTCCGATGCCTCCCTCTCGCCCTCCCCACCGTGGGCATCTTCCTTCGAAGCATACCCCCCATTATGCGCCTCCTCCTTACCCACCTCCTTTAGCACATAGCTGACAAGAGTTGGTCGCCGCGGCCACGGCGAAAGCGCGGAATACCTAACGGAGGGGTTGCGGGCGGGGAAAGGGCGGAAAAGGAGAAAGCAATCGCCCGCGACTCTCGGTGGCAGAGCGAAACGGCAGGGGACTAGGGCTGTGGCAGCGGCCGCCATGGGCACCCAACTCGAGAGATATCACTGCTGCTTAAAAGCCCGCTCGACAGGTCGTTTGGTCTCTCCGACGAGTGCTCACAGAGACGTGCGAGCAAGAGAATGAGTGCGTATAATTGCAGTGCGTTGTTGGGGGGAGAAGTGGGGGGGTGGAGAGGAGGGCGGAGCATGGAGACGCATCTCTGCGCTCCCGAGCTTTTAAATTGGACAGCCTGACCAAAATGCCACACGCTATGTTCCCTAATTGCGATCATGCCACCCTGCATCTCCGTTTTGGTGCTTTGAGGCTGTTGGAGAATGATGATTGGGTCATCCGTGAGGTGGTAGGCCCATCTAAGCAATGAGGAACCAACACGTGTCCCCCTCTTCTTATCTGGTCACTAGTGTTCAAGCATTATTGGGATCCGTGTGTTCATCTTAATCCCTCACAACTTTTCTAAAATTAGTAAAATATTAGACACTACCTAGAATTCTGATAGGCATTTTTCAGACAAAAGTTATTAGACTTTTATCGAATTGAGACACCCTAATTAATTTTTATCTTCCGCATCTTTTCTTCATCAACTTTATGAAAATACTCTTTTATCTTCTATTCATCATATTTGTTCTTCTGGATAGTGAGCTCCAAAACTAATCAGGAGATGACATCTAAGTGCAATACTAAGGATTTTTCTAGGTTACGGTCCATTCTAATAAACAAACTTTATTAGGCCATTATATCGTGTTTGATTCAACGCACCAATTAGGGATAGGTCGTATGTCGGAGCCCTGCCGACGTAACAAATGATTTGACCCCCAAAATTTGACAGCAACGAAGAGCGCAAGAGCCACTACGGCTAGTCACAGTAATTGTCATTAGTGCAAGGCGAGGATGAGGACGAAGGAGAAGGAGGCGCTGCCGCTGCTGCAAGGCGACTCGTGACGGCACGTGACACGTATATCCCGCCGCGTGTCCTTCGTGCTATATCTTCTGGGTCAATCGTGGTCTTCACGCGGTGGGGGAATGCCACACGTTAACACCTCCTCGCTCTGCGCCTCCCACCGCCCCACTCAATTGTTTCCCACTCCCGAGTCTCCACCTCGGCCTGGCGATGTTAAGGTTCAAACAGACAGCTCCACAATCGTTCGGTTGGGTCCCTTCCAACGCTTGCCATCGAGCCACCTGTATAATAATTCTACCACCACGCGAAAAAGGCGAGGAGTTGTTGTGGTGCTTCCCCCCGGTCAACTAATCACTTGACACCGCCCTGTTCCCCCGGGCCAGCGACGGCATCCGAACGTGGTAGGTTCGGTCATAATGGAAGAACTAGTCAAATGCAGTAGCCGATAAGGGAATAAATGGAGGACCAATTATTACTGCCATATCGGAAGGCTCTGTTTTCGTTCAGGTGTGGCTTCAGTGGCCCCATGTATCGCATGGCTCGGCACCATGGTGATGGTATCACGTCGCTCGGTCGAGACACACGAGTCGCACCATTTCGCCAGCTGACCACGTGATGGTATCACGTCGCTCTGTTTTCTCTCAGAAGATGAGGGAGCTTGCGCTCCATGAAGGATGAGCCAAAGGGCTGATAGATGGGCTGCCTACAGTTGCGCACATGAAGGTCACCAGCGCTGCATGTGGACCGGCCGTGGCGTGAGGTCTGGTTGTCGGTGCAGAGCCCTCTCTGTGTGCACGCCGGACCTCATTCCATGGTCATCGTGAGACCACGGAGCTGCAATGGATCGCGGGATTCTGATCGAACTCGGTGTTTGTGCATGGGAGAAGAACTTCTAATGGTACCTCCGAGACAATTCTTGCTGCACTTTTCGTCCTATCAAACATTGCCATCCTTACAGGCGACAAGAGTGAGTCAGGAGATCTGCTATCGATGATAACCTACCGTCTTCCGCTTTAACCCGCACGTTAACTCTTCCATCGAGGACGGTGAACATTGGAGAAGAAGGTCTTGGGCACCCCATGAACGTGTGCGTAGGGTAACCTTCTTTATTTACAGCAATATATCGGTGACTAAATGTCAACGGAAACAGAAGCAAGTACTTGTTAGGTCGATTTATAGTTCGACATCCATCAAGCTTGTAAGAACTGATGACGAAAATGCAATGACCTATTCTTGAGCACAGATGATCAGTAAGCATACAAGAAGATAAGGTTGCAATTCGTGCCTTGCTGACCATGCTTGATGTTGTGGGAAACAGTCTGGAGCCGTGGCCTCGGGGCCGACGCGGCTCGGCTCGGATCCGGATGACGGGGGATCTTCCCATGACCGGTTTCGAATCCGCCGAGATGGTCGGTTACGGTGGTCCAATTCGGGACGGGATCAGCCGTCTCCGCTGGAGGGGCCTCCTTGGCTGGGGACGCACCCCGTCTTCTTTCCTGCACACAAGTCGGGTCGGGAGGCTCGACCCGACCCCTCCGACGATCGAGTCAGTAGATAGTGGAGGGGGTTTCGGAAGAAGAAGAGTTTGAGGTATCTCCCTGGTGTATTCTCTCCTCCGTCCTCCCTCCCTCCTCCCTCACGCTCGTTTAGAGTGCGAGGGTATTTATAAGGAGGCTTACTGTTTCCTGATGTGCCCGCTTGCAGGGGGTAGGCTGATAACGTCTGACACTGGCGTGGCGTGAAGAACCGAGCCTGAGCAGGCGTTAATGTGCCTCGACCGGCGTTCTAGTTCGTTTGACCAGGTGTCGTTGTGTCGTCCGAGGCGTGAGGCGTCATCTGACGTCAACCGAGTCTTATCATAATTACTATCCTCATCACTTGACATCATTTTTCCTTTACTGGCTCTTCTCGCATTGCTGGACTCATACCGACAATTTCTTCATTTTCCTTTCGTTTAATCTTGTTAATTTTTGGATATTTAAGTTGGTCACCCGTTGTATCAGACGAAGAAAAGAAAGAAAGAAAGAAAACCTCATGCTCGTCTTGTTTGTTATCTATTTAAGAAAGAATATACAGATAGAATATTTCTTCTTCTATAATCTTAAGCTTTAAAATACCATGTATGGAACAAGCTGTGATCAAATCCTGACTGTGTGCATCTCTTTCCTAACGAGATCTCATTAATCTAAAGAGGAGGACTAATCAAGACAACTATAGCAAAGAAAGATTTAGAGTACCAGTACTCAAAAGGGAAATCCTAGCAACTACAGTCTCATTTGAGCAGTTTGGATGTAACCAGTCTCATGGCTTCCACCACGCAAGAAGTTTCTCTTCAAAAAATATAACAAAACCTTCAATCCAACAAACGAGTCTTAACAAAGCTGGATAAGAACATATCAGAATGGTGAGTCTCATCGGCGCTTTCTAAGATATATCTGGTGGAAGAGGCCGGAGGAGGAGACGTAGGGGGAGGCAGAAGCATTCAGGATCTCTCAATTTAATACAAATATTTAGATTTGATAACAGACCTCGTTACAGAAGTTTCACGGCGCAGAAGAGGCACAATCGACCATGCATGCACTCAACTCACAGAGCGATTAAAGATCACAACATTACTGAACTGGGATCAAGGTGTTCTTATTATACTCAAACTGTTGATGAAGTCAGACACTGCAAATCATCCCTATTTATTTATCCCCAAACAAGTAGCCAAGTGATGAGCTTCCACCAGGAACTGACTGAACCTTCGTAAATGGGCGACCCTGTGAAAACAAAGCAAAAGAAATCGTTTCACTGTTTTCACATCAAAGATGGCGGCAACATGGTCTAAATATTAGCAAGAATGCAGGTTATAAATACTGCTCACAGTGATGAAGTTCCCTGAATTCTGGCCTCGAGCTCTGTAGTAGTTGTTGGTGGAAACAGGTTTGTTCGGTGCAGCAGATTGGTCTGTTGCTTTGGTCTTGCTATCTTCATCAGATGGAGGCTTCTGCTGCCCGGTCGACTTGGGAGATCCCTCGAAGGAGGTGGTGCCCTCGTCTGACTCAAAGAGGTAACTCAAAGAGCTTTTGCCGCCCCCGAAGCTCTCACCTCTACTCATGCTTTGCTTCTTCCACGAAACTTTCTGTACTATAGAGTTGCCAGCACTTCTGAGAAGATGGCGTACGTTGATATAGTACGAGAATGGGGTCTTGTTTATGATGATGGCATGCACACTACATGATCATCATACATGCAGACATGTGTTTGATAGAATGGTTTATACTCACACTAAAGCAAAGATAGAATGGTTTCTCGTGGTTAAGAGCATGCAATGACTTCATGAACATCAACATGTCTGAACATACCGCTTAAGTGCCATCTCACAAAGGAGATGAAGTTGGTTAAAGGTCGTTGTACGATGGGTTCAAAGGGAGCTGGAACAGCAGGACTTCCAGATTGCATCTGCTAATGCTAGCGTCCGAAGACAGCATTCCATGAACTACCGTATATTAGCGGAGTTGCTTCTACTTGCAACAGGTGTCATAGTCCATATGTACGTTGGTCAAGAAAGAGGCAGCACAATCTCTGGTTTGATTCTGATAAGATAGCATTAAGTGAAGGATCGCGATCATAAGACATCCTTGAAGAAAGAAAAAGCACGGTAACGACCCTACCTGCAGATAAGGCGGTACTTCAGGAGAGCACGGCTTCCACGTCCTATGAAGTGAGGGGAAGCATAACATCGTTCACTGGTTGACGGTGAGTTAGGCGCCATCTCACATCGGATTAAGGTGGGCTTTGATATCAAACTTTTGATATGAAAGGACATGGGAGGGACAGAGTGAGGTCTGGTCCTGTGTTCGTCTGGTGCGCAGCTGCTGCGTTGAAGTTTCTCCGTTTCTAGCCACCAGTCTCCTTCGTCTATTGTTCTTCGAGGGGATCACGGTCCGGCCCGAGATACATTGTCATTTTGGGCTGGGGTCAACCTTAATGACATGTAATGAGATAAGAAGGGGCCGGGCCTACGTAAGTTGGTGAGTCGTCACGTGTAGCTTCTGATGGGCCCTACTTCTGGTTCGGCCTACCTCGCCTCGTAGGCGTTTGGTCTCTCTCTCAAGTCGGCTTCCTCCTTCTTTGCCAAGAAAAGCAACTCTGGTCCGGTGGAGGATCTGGAACCCCCGTGGCAAGAACGATCTCCGACGGCCCGGAAGCAGCGATCTATCGGCGGCAGCGACGGGCTTGGCGTCGGCCTCTGCCGCTGGACCGAAGGCATGGTCCGCTGCCTTCCGCCTCATGAGGCAAATGGTTTGTTATCTCCTTTTCAGAAGCATTTGCGCATATCTACCAATTGACATCTGTTTATAATCGTTGCTTCGGCTCCTACTTTTGTACCATTCTTGGTTATTGAATCCTTTTCTCTCCCCTCATCTTCGTCCGTGGATAGATGGATCGATCGCATTGCCATTTCTTCGTTCTTGAAACGATGGTGGTAAACCGAACTTCTCGCTCGCGTATTTTCTTGCAGGGATGGGACGAAGGCGAGGCCTTGGCAAAGACGAGCAAGGCATTCAGGACAGGTATTGGCGTAGATAGATCTTTCAAAACTGCATTATTGACACCTCTCAGTTTGACAATTTCCTCAATATATATTCAAAGCGGTGATTCTCTTATGAAATCGAGTATTACTTATGAGATTTTTTTTTTTTGCGTTGATCAATGATCAATCTTTGGAACACTTGCATAGACATCCTGATACTCAATATCGAGTTGTGCTCTTTACTATCTTGTGTCGTATTCTGTTTCAATCATCTCTATTTGGTAGAACCATCGAAGGGAGATGATGCTGATCAAATTAAGTCTAGACAAGATGCACTGGAGCATGATGTGGTCAATGAAGGTTGACTCGTACCCCTCAACTTTATATCATTCCTTAAGCTTATAATTTTCTTTTTGAAGTAACTAGAAAGATCCTTAGTTATTAATAGGTACAAAAAAAAGGAGAGAGGGGGAAGATTGTGAAAGCATACTCGGAAGACCTTCAAGGAATTCTTGTAAAGTATTATCCTGTTACTTCCTCCTTTTTGTTCCATTCGAGTTTGATCTTTTGCCATGTTATTTTGATATCACCAATTGAATTTGTTAGGTTGCTTGTATTAAGGCATTCTGATGAGTGTCACACCTCTTGTGTTTTAGACTTTTTTCTTGATTAGTTATATGTCCTCACCACCCTGTTCATGTATGAGAGCAAATTTGTTCATGGAATGGTATATGCAGGGAAACAAACTGAAGAGAATTGTCTTAATGATCTTGATCCACCCATCGAACATCCTTTTCTAGTGGCTGATCCACATGTTCCTCAAGTTTTGGGTGAAGTAATATATTTCAATGTCCTATCACGAGTGTCTTTTTCAGTCCTTCTGCATTTCCATTTGCTTTCATGTATCCTCATCAACATGTATCTTCATGTTGATGCTGTTAATTATAGCTGCCAGAACATATTGATAGAATATATGTTTTTTAAGATTGAAATAGGTCTTAATGTTATTTTATGAGAGGCATAGGAATGTAATCATCGATAACACAGACAGTTAAATACTTTAAGTTGATGAAGATTTGAAGGTTTGTGAAATAGTATTTCAAATGGGGAACTGGAGTAAATATACGATTAATAAGATAGACTATAGTTTGAAGATTGCTGATCAAAAGGTTGGAGGCCTGATGTAGAAGTGTAAGACTAGTTTCAACTATATGTCGATGTTTGCGTTCGATAGAGCCAACTAGTTGAGAAGTATGTAAGGGTGACTTGAGGTGTTGTATACTACAAGCTGAGAAACATGATGTCATGGCTTGATATTTACCTCCATCATTAATCATCAGAGTAAACTGTTTTGATTGTAGACTGAAAGTAGTTCTCGACCAACTTACTAAAGTTAGTAAATATTGTGAAAACTTTAGATTTATGGTGAAGAGGATATAACCATGTGTACTTAGTGAAATAATCTACAAAAATGATATAAAATCTGAATTTATCAAAAGAAATGGTTGGAGTAGGGCCCTAAACATCGGTATAAATACTTTCAAATGGTTTAGAACAAGATATGGAGGATGTGCCAAAGGGTTGTCTATGACTTTTATTGCTAAGACAAGCATCATAATGAGTTATAAAGTTACTTGATTTAAAAATAAGAAGAGAATAATGAGAAAGTAATTTCTGCTGGATAAGGGACGAGGGATGACCAAGACAACGATGCCGCATATCAATTGGAGCTGTAATTAAAGAGTGAACAGTGGGCTGAGTTATTTATGGAGCTGACGACCATTTGTAAATGTTGCCTCTATTCTGGCCTTGGACCAAGAATGCCCCGATGCTCAAATCCTTGACAAGAAAAGAGTTAGGAAAGAATTCAATTGAAGTATTGTCGTGTTTGTAGAATTGAGAAACGGAAATGAGGTTTCGTTTAATGTGAGGTGCATACAGAACATCATCGAGTGTAAAAGTTACGGTATATGAATTAAGCGTTGTGGAACTAGTATGAGTAATAGGAATTCCTTTACCATCACCGATGATGATATCTTCATTTTCGCCATAATTATTGTGGATGAACAAGTTCTGAAGATCAATGGTGATGTGATGAGAAGCGCCAAAGTCCATAATCCAATTAGGTTGACTTGTAGTCGGAGTAGTCATGAGATTCGCTTGAGGCCACCGTGATGGACCAAGGAGTCTGGGTCGAGATCGACAGACTTTCGCAGAGTGTCTGACTTTGTCACATAGTTGGCATACGACTCTTTGTTGGCTTGTGAGGTCAGGACGCTAGGGCTGATGGTTATTGGAGTTGCCACCTTGATAGAAATGTTGATGATCCAAATAAAGAGGGGTTTGTTTGGGACCTATATGGTCAGGAGACATCTTGACCAAACCTTTATTGACATTCTTATTGTACTGGTTACTCTTCCTCTTGGACTTTTGACTGACTTGAGCTGTGATGGTTGGTCCGGGCAACTTGTCCTCGCGTTTCAAATACGTCTCATAGTCAGTCAACTTGTCATAGAGTTCTTCGAATGACATTGGTGAGTCACGTGCCCTAATTGTGGCTACCAATTCCTTGTACTCATCTCCTAGGCCATTAAGGGTATGGATTATGACTTCTTCGTCATAAAAGGAATGACCTATCAAAGCTAAGTCATTGATGATAACTTTGATATCTTGTAGATAATCAGCAATGGTACTTTCCTCTTGTTTTTTTTTCTATTAGAATGGATAGAAGACTGAGCATGCGAGTATGCGAACGATTTGCCAAGGTTGTTTGCAGCTTGTACCATGCTTCTACAGCAGTCGCACACAAAGATATCAATAGGGTGATAGATCCAACAGTTGAGGCTTGAATAACTTGTAGGATGAGACTCTTGACGTAACCATAGTTTGTGAGTTGGATTTGGTACTGGACTGGGTTCTTAGGGGATGTTGATCATTGCTGGTGGACAATTGAGAGAGCCGTCTACATAACCTAGCAAGTCATATCCAAATAGGAGATTAGAAAACTGAGCACACCAGGATGCGTAGTTGTCGCCTTTTGATAACTTGAAAGGGATTAGCATGACAACATTGATGGAGATAAGTCCTGTATATGGAGAAGTACTATGATTCCTTGCAGAAACAGTAACTGAAATGTCAGAAGTAGATGATGAAGACATTCTGAGGATGTGTACTGATCCAAGGGCTTAAGATGGGAGTTTGCGACCGAACAGTAAGGAATTAGTTCCTATACTAGCTGATTTGGTTGTGCAACAAGAGGAATACTGAGAAAAGTTGCAACTATCCTTTCTGCAAATTTTGTAGTGAAGGATCTTTGCTAAGCAGGTACTCCTCTCCTCTCCCAAGCGGGTGTTTGATGACCGACAACCTGCATTTGTGCGCAAGGTGACCCCTTCCCCTTAGTGCAGCATCCCTCTTTCTTCTCTCTTCCCCGTGAACGACGCTCCCAAGGGAAGCGCAAGTGCTACAAGCACTGCATCATCTTCCCTGCCACGACAAAATTAAAAGGAACTTCTGGTTCGGCCCGGATTTGTCGCCTCCGGTGACGTTGATCAGATCAACACTTTCCTCCTTGGTGAATGATGACTGTCTTCTTCCACTGCCACTCTGTGTCACAGTGGCGCCTCTAGTGTTACGTTCACGAGTGTTGCTCTTCACCGACAGATCTCCACTGTAATATACTATTGCTTCTCCTCCTCCAGCGGTTGTGATTCTCTGATTGCAGGCCGCACCTTCAACCCACCGAGTATTGCTCGCCCAAACCCCTTCTTCGACAAAGATCTTTCACTGCAAAATTTGTAGAAAGGAGAGTTACAACTTTGCTCTATATCCCTCCTGCTACACAACCAAATCAGCTAGTACAGGAACCAATTTCTATTGTTTTGTCGTAAACTCTCATCTTGAGCCCTCAAATCAGTACACATCCTCAGAATATCTTCATCATCTATTTCTGACGTTCCAATTACTATTTCTATAGGGAATTATAGTACTTCTCCACATACAGGACTTATCTCCATCGATGCTATCATGCTAATCCCTTTCAAGTTATCAAAAGGTGGCAACTACGCATCCTGGTGCGTCCAGTTTTCTAATCTCCTATTTGGATATGACTTGTTAGGCTACGTCGACGGCTCTCTCAATTGCCCACCAATAATGATCAACATCCTCAGAGAACCCAATCCAGTACCAAATCTATCTCACAAACTATGATTATGTCAAGATCGTCTCATCCTCCAAGCTATTCAAGCCTCACTTGCTAGATCTGTCGCCCCACTGATATCTTCATGTGCGATTGCTGCAGAAGCATGGTACAAGCTACAAACAACGTTGGAAAATTGTTTGTGTACTCGCATGCTTAGTCTTCTATCCATTCTAATGAAAACAAAACAAGAAAGAAGTACAATTGTTGATTATTTACAAAATATCAAAGTTATCATCGATGGCTTGGCTTTGATAGGTCATTCCCTTTGTGACGAAGAAGTCATAATCCATACTCTTAATGGCATAGGAGACGAGTATAAGGAATTGACAATCACAATTAGGGCACGCGACTCACTAATGTCATTCGAAGAACTCTAGACAAGTTGACTGGCTATGAGACATTTTTTAAGCGTGAGGACAGGTTGTCCGGACCAACCATCATAGCTCAAGTCAGTCAAAAGTCCAAGAGGAAGAGCAACTAGTACAATAAGAACATCAATAAAGGTTTGACCAAGATATCTCCTAACCCTATGGGCCCCAAATAAATCCCCCTTTATTCGCATCATCAACATTTCTATCAATGTAGCAACTCTAATAACCATTGGCCCTGGCGTCCTGACCTCACAAGTCAACAAAGAGTCGTCTGTCAGTTGTGTGATAAAGTCGGACACTCCGCGAAAGTCTGTCGGTCTCGACTCAGACTCCTTGGTCCATCACGGTGGCCTTAGGCGAACCTCATGACTACTTCGGCTATTAGTCAACCTAATTGGACTGTAGACTTTAGCGCCTCTCAGTAAATTACCTCTGATCTTCAGAACTTATCCATCCACAACAACTATGGCGGAAATGAAGATATCATCATCGGTGATGGTAAAAGAATTCATATTACTTATACTGGTTCCATAACGCTTAATTTATATACCATAACTTTTATACTCGATGATGTTCTGTGTGCACCTCACATTAAACTAAACATCATTTTTGTTTCTCAATTCTACAAACACAACAATACTTCAATTGAATTCTTTCCTGACTATTTTCTTGTCAAGGATTTGAGCACGAGGACATCCTTGGTCCAAGGCCAGAATAGAGGCAACATTTACGAATGGTCGTCAACTCCACAAATAACCCAACCCACTGTTCACTCTTTGGTTGCAACTCCAATTGATGTGTGGTATCATCGTCTTGGTTATCCCTCATCCCTTATCCAGCAAAAATTACTTTCTCGTTATTCTTTTTTCATTTTTAAGTCAAGTAGCTTTATAACTTATTGCGATGCTTGTCTTAGCAATAAAAGTTATAGACAATCCTTTGACACATCCTCCATATCCTGCTTTAAATCGTTTGAAATTATTTATACCGATGTTTGGGGCCCTGCTCTAACCTTTTCTTTTGACAAATTTAGATTTTATGTCATTTTTGTGGATTATTTCACTAAGTACACATGATTATATCATCTTCACCATAAATCTGAAGTTTCCATAATCTTTAGCAACTTTAGTAAGTTGGTCAAGAACTACTTTCAATTTACAATCAAAATAGTTACTTTGATAGTGGAGGTGAATATCAAGCCCTGACATCGTATCTCTTAGCTTGTGGTATACAACACCTCAAGTCACCCCCACATACTCTTCAACTAGTTAGCTATACCGAACGCAAACATCGACATATAGTTGAAACTGGTCTTACACTTTTACATAAGGCCTTCATGTCTCCAACCTTTTGGTCAATAGCATTTCAAACTGTAATCTACCTTATTAATTATATGCTTACTCCAATCCTACAATATTAGTTCCCATTTGAAACACTATTTCACAAACCTCCAAACCTTCAGAAACTCAAAGTATTTAGTTGTCTATATTATCCATGGTTACGTCCCTATGCCTCCTATAAGATAACATCAAGATCTAAGCCTTGCATTTTCATAGAATACTCTCTTGAGCATAATGCTTTCCGATGCTACAACCCCCAAACCCAAAAAGTCTTTATATCACGTCACGTTATTTTTGTGGAGTCTACCTTTCGTTTCCAAAACTATGAGTCTCCTACCGTATAAGCCACTCCAAAAAACATTCATCACTGGAGTATACCTCTGATCCTGTTGGATGAACCTCCCCATGACATCGTCTAGTTCTTCCCCTCAGGATCCACACTCTACTGCTACTCTAGTTCAGCAGCTGTCCATTCCCTCCATTACTTCTCCACTCCCTTCTTCTCAAGTTTCCCCTATTGATAAGGCAATACATTCAGAAACACAACCATTGTTTTTACCTCCTTCTAGACCCAATGACACTGAAGTACCTTAGCCTGACCCGGCCAGTGTCAATGACTCTCCACCGCCTATACCAACAACACAACCTCACAATCTCATAGCCTTCAGACATCCAATGACAATATGCCCCAAAAAGTGGTATTTTTAAACCACGTCAAGCCCTTGACCTACATACTATCACAAAATTCTCACCTAAGACCATTGAACCCACCACATTCACTCAAGCTAAAACATCTCCACACTGGCGTAAAGCTGATTGGGTAGGAAACTTTAATAATAGAACATACACGTCTGGGTATATTGTCTTCCTTGGAGCTAATCTAATTAATTGGAGTTCTAGGAAGCAAAAGACAATCGTACGGTCTACAACTGAAGCTGAATACTATGTCATCGCCACCGCTGCTGCAGAACTCAGTTGGGTCATAAATCTGCTCAAGGAACTCAACATCGACTCCACTCTTACTTCTACAGTATATTGTGATAATGTTAGAGCTATATATCTATGCGTCAATCTAGTGTTCCACTCCCACATGAAGCATATTACCATCGACTTTCACTTCGTGCGAGATCAAGTTGTCTGACATTAACTAAGTGTTTCTTATGTACATACAGTTAATCAACTAGCAGACTTACTCATGAAGTCTCTCGCCCGTAAACTAGTTTCATTGCATCGGTCCAAGATCGACATCCTTGATAGGAACACCATCTTACGGGGGCACGATAGCAGATAAGATTTTTCCAACTGCACGAAGAAATTTCGTTGCTTTGTTGAGGGAAATCCTCCCTCATAACCTGTATAAATAGGGAGAACATATCAATAAACTTCAACAAAAACATATCTTCTATCATATATAACATTTAGAATTTTTATACATTTATTTCTTAGTGTCTTTATAAACCTCCAACTTTCTTTTGTTGTTGGGAGTGACTTATATTAGCCTAATTATTTGCTCTTACCTCAAGATTTGCTCAATCGAGTTCAAGCCACAACACCACTAAATCCACCTTGATAATTTCATAGGAAGAGTACTGGAAAATCTCTGAAGCAGTGCATCATAAATTACCTATGTTTCACATTTGATAACAGTGTCATGATATATGGCAGTTGCAATGGTAACAGAGGCAACCATACTAGATTTGGGTGAGGCACTTTCGATGGACTTTGCTGACACTCAATAGCACAGAAATTGTTTGTAGGTTTAGCTTTTATTATAATTATAGATTATGTGATCTTGACCTCTGAGTTGTGTTCACTGTTCCTGTAAAATGGTCGAACGACAATTAATCTCTTATCCCATCTGCCACTTGTTGCACAGTGGAATAGTGATCTGCCCGGAATAGTTCACTGTTCACAAGTGTTGCGTGATGACATAATGTTGATGAATTAAAATTGTTGGAGATCAAATGTGCAATGAAACATGGATTATTTAGTGTTAAAATTAAGTGTGATTTGATATCTCAAAGTAGGTTGTATGTGCTGAGATGAAATAAGCAATGAAAGAGTTACTCTCCAGCTTTCTGAGCTTAGTAGTAGACTGTGGTCAGAGACATTTTCAAGTTTGATCATATAAAGAGACATAGAAATGGAACTTTCCTGCACAGTTTTAACAGTGTTTCACCCCCTCTATTAGATTTTTCCTTGCCATGGTGTTCTAGGTTTTATAACCTCCGCACTTGATTCCGTCCAACTGGAATCAAAGTTAGTTGAAATTTGAATTTGATCAAATATATTGATGCATGCAACTGGTAGATACAATCATTTGTCTCGTGGTAAATGTGTCAATGCATTCATTATATGGATTGCAATATTCAACTTATCATGTCATGTCTCAACTATATGATATTAAAGCTCATATGCTGTAGATAGTGTGTCAGCAAATGCATCGGTGGGTGATATCTTGTGGTCTCCAGATTGAAATTACAAAATAGATAAATTTTTGATGTCAACAGCCATTACATACATGTTCATGGAATAGGAAAAAGTGGCGAATGTACAATTTTCTGGGCAGAGCGATTGTGTTTTACCAGAGAAATTGCTTAAGATCGAATGCATATGAAACTGTAGAATTTGCTTGCTCAAATAGGACAATATAACCTTAGCACTTTTCAATTTTGAAGGTTCCTCACGAGAACTGTATTCCTGTATGATTATCTTCAACAAGAAAATTTTGAATTTTTACAAGGTTGTGTCGAGTTCATCGCACAAAACAAAAAAAGGCTTTGGAACACATCATATCAAGAGACTGGAAATTTTGCAGGCAGCAGCAGATTACTATTATGTGGACGTGGTGCGTCAGCAGCTCAATCCCAGACTAGAAACTATCTGGTACACTGCATTAGATTGCATGGTAAAGTAGAAGTTATCCGAGTACAAAATTGTGGTAAAGCTGTGAGTTTTAATCGATTCGTTATGGTTTTGTAACCGGTGTGGATCTTTTGTTTCCCAAATATTAAATTGATATGGTATTATGGTCTTCCTTCGAGACATGTCGACTAGCACTAAAATAGTGCACTTAAAAATTGACGTGTTTTGTTGTCTTGCTTCGCTTTCTTTGGATCATGCAAGGGGGTTTGGCGGGGATTGCCAAGGCGGTGGGTCACACACCGTTTCCATCCAATTGCTCGGGGCGATTAATTAAGTTTCCCACCCTGCACCTGAAACTTAATGGATGTGCAACCATAGTTAGTGGGAGGAAAAACTAAGCTCACGTTTATATCGAGTATTTTCAATTATAAAATATAAAATCGGTTTCGGAAGAAGCGATTAATTTTTGTAAATTGCAGATATGATTATAAATGGTTCGAAAGGGGACAAAAATCTATCAAGAATAGCTATAAATTTTAGACGATGTGTTGTGGCAATGCCACCAAATTAGCCGAAACAAGTTTTTGGTTAATTGCTTTTCTCGGTTCCATTCTCGAACCTTTAAAAGCCGTGCTACCAAATCCACAGCGCAGAGCAATAATAAAACGCAGCGAGTACCGCTCTCTCCTCTCTCTCTCTCTCTCGGTGGAGGGGTTTAAAAATGGCGTTTAGGTTCGCGACGGCGGCCGCAATGCCGAAGCCCTGTTTATCGATAAGAGCGAATCAATCAAGCTCCCTCGACGTATCTGATCTCGCCGACGATCATGTCTCTCGTTCGAAGAAGAATTTCGTCTTCATCATCAACCCCAAGGGTTTCTCTTTTTTCTCCTCTCTTTTCTCGTCATCGATCAGTTCTCTTCTTCGGTTCTTTACTCTGTCCCTAAACCTTGGATGAATTCAGGTGCTAATGGCCGGACAGGCAAGGAATGGAAGAAGCTGCTGCCCCATCTACGCACTCGGCTCGGTGGGCACTGCAACGTGAGCTCGCTTTCTTCGTATAATGCCCTTATTTATGCCACTGTTTGGTTGCTGAAACACCAGCCTGCGTCCTTGTTGATGATCTTTATCCTGTGATCTGTTCTGCCCTCTATGTTATTTTATCGGTTCTTTTTGCTTTTTGTTCTAAAGCCGGAGTTGTTCTTATTTTATATGTTGCATACCAGTTGTTCGACGATTGACCTCTTTGTTGATAACTATGATGTTGAAAATTATTTATGTCATGTCACTCTTGGGCGGTTGTTCGTCTTCAAGTCACTATGCCTTGATGCTTTCCTTCTGTTGTGTGTATCTTTCTTTATCTTTTTCTCCATGGGTCTCTGTAAACTAATTGTTTGCCAATGAAGCCCATATCCTCAACTATACACCATTATATTGTGTCTATGTCTGTTCTGCATAATTTTCGAACTGAGATGGAGGACCACATCTTGTAATGAGGTTTTGCCTTGCAGTTGTGTTGTTGCCCTCGAGTAAAACAGAAAATTTATCATTTTTCCTGATACAAGCCCATCTCAGTTTTCGTGACAATGGTTTTAACCTTGAAAAATATGTGCAGTAACGTTTTAGTTTTTGTTACATATCTATATTTCAGGATATAAGGATAATGAAAAACAACTTGAGATGATCTTAGTAATCACACTTTAAAACCTTCATGTCTCTGATGCAATATAGAACAGAGATAAACAGAGTTGCATCTTTAATTGTTATGGTGGTGTCGCATTTTGATAGGTAAGTAGATGTAAACTGAACTTTTTCCATTCTTTTTTTTTTTTTGAGTTCTCTTCAGCTCATAAGCACCATGTCATTGTTCTATCTGATTTCTGATCTTCACTTTTTTCCATTTTTTCCTAGTTTCCCCTTGTATGCAAATATAATCTCCTTTCCAGTACAGGGCTCTTTTTCTTCTTCTTTTGTACTTCCAGCACATAACATCTGGTTGCCAATTCATCAAACCCAAATCATGGGAACTTTTGACTAACTTATCCTTAATTGAAGCATAATGAATTGGATTCCTCATATTATTGATCCTAATATATTGGTAATATTGGAGATAAGTATCTTATACTGGTCTTTCTAGAATTACTTTCTCTTATAATAAAATGGATTATTAGCTACATGATTCATTATAAGTCTTTTGACTTGAAGATTTTCTTGAATTAAATCTGATATTCTCTTAATGATTTAATCTCTAGTTGGATATTTAGACTTGACTTCGAAACGTAGATTCTTGTGTCACATGTTGCTTACATTTCAATGGTTCAATCGGCTGTTTTTATTGGATGATTCAGTTTGATGAAAACTTCAAAGCGAAAGCCTCCATGTGGGATATTCAGAATATTGTTCGCTACCCCATGTACTGCATATATTACTTATGTGAAAGTGAAATCCTTGCTTACAACAGAGAATTATCAAATTGAACTTGAGTATCATAAAAATTGTCCTATGAATTTGTTTTTTTTTTTGGCACAAGTTGTTCTCCCATGATTGCTATCAACTGTTGTTCTAATATCTTTGAGTGACTTTGGTGCATCAGCAAAGTATGTGCCACGTTCTATAACATCCCAAACGAGGTACATACTATTCTGGCAGCACAAATAGAAAAGGGGGCAAACATATTTATCTTCAGTGTTGAGAGTAGAGGTTGGTATTAATGCTACTTCAGTGTTGAGAGTAGAGGTTGGTATTAATGCTACTTCAGTGGATCAAAGTAATTCTATCTCATTATCATCAGTAGAAAGTGGGAATGGAAGCTGATAACCTTGCTAGACTAGTCTGCATTTCTGGATGAAGCAGTGGCTGGCAGTGAGATGGCTGATGAAATACTTGGCTCCAGGTGATGTGAGTATCAAGATGGTACTATGCAGCTCATGGTCTTCGGATGAAAGGGAGAGTAAAAAAAATTGACAGGCATTACTGCTGAAATTCTAGATTCTGAACCGATACAAACCTGAAATTTAACAGTTTCAACATGTTTGTCTGAAACTTCCTATTTCACCAGACCATAAGACTATGGAGTGTTGCATGTAGGCAGTGTAACCTGGTGCAGCAAAAAGTGAAAATCCCTCTTTGATCCATTATTCTCATATATAAAATCTCTGAGCTTTATATTATGCTTACTGGAGAGAAAGCTCTACTTGCAAAACATTATTTTATTATTCTATTATTATTTTAAAAGGAATGCATCGCTCATCAAATTAAAAGGATGAAAAAGATCTCTCGTATGCATTTTTTTCTTAGACTGCTGTTTATTTCGATGCACTTCTGTTCACCATATAGGAAATTGGTACTATTTTAATTTACAGAATTGTGTTTGCATCTTTTTGCCTATTAACTTGCACTTTTTAATTGTTATCTTAAGAATTGTTGTATTATAAACCTTTTCATATAATTAGAACTTCAGCTGGGATTAGTTTGAATTCTTTCTCAAAATAAGTTTCATGTAAGTTCTGAGCAGTATTTTGCCAGGATTTGCACGTTGCACTCTGTTATTGCCATTAATGTGTTTTTTCTTATATGCTTATTATTGTCAGATATGTGAGTATATTACTTCGGCTCCTTCTCATGGTGTGGACATAACAAGGGAGGTATAAAAATTTATTGGAAGTATGGTCAATTAGTATATTTAATGAAATTTTGGATATATTACCTTTTATATTTCTTACTGAATCACTCATTGATGGGCCTTTGTAGGCAATAAGGGAGGGGGCGGATGCTGTAATTGCTGTTGGAGGTGATGGTACACTTCATGAGGTCAGAGTACTTATCTAAAGATAACTGATCATTAGTGCTTGCTTCTTGAGTTATTATTCAACATCCTTATGGTGGACTTGCCTAAAAGATTCTTTAGTGGATATAGAGTTCTATTTATATAACAGTGGTTTAACTGTTTAAGGCTTTAAGCTCAATATAAGTTATATTTTCATATTTTTATCATTATTTCTGTTACCTATTACCATATTTGCCATGCAAGATTGCTCCGGCATGTGACATGCTGAAAAGAAAATGCTGATGCATCAGACAACTTTTCTCAAACAAATAGACATCAACATGAATTTGTACACTAAGTTACTAACATCAGTGAGCACGGTTCCCACTCTTAATGTTCTGATGTCAAACGGCATACAAATTCCCTGTGGCAGCATATTCCCAAGTATGGATATCTCACTGCTTCTCTTGAAGGCAAACCAGAAAGTCCCATACCTATACATGTGATGAGGTAGCCCGTTGATGGTATTATTCCTGTGCTGGCAAAATACAGCACCATCAAAAGAATGTGCATTTAACATCTGCCATCCTGGTGCAGTTTTAGCACATATCACAGTTGTCTTCAGTCTGGTCACTTAACCAGTTCTGCAACTTGAATTACCTGCACAAAGAAATCTAATAACTCTATGAATCTGAGCGACAATGACAAGCAGCTAGTGCAACCAGCATATTGTCTTAGTTTTAGTGTTTTCATCAGGCAATACACCTTTTTTCCCCTTTCTTCTATGGAAGCACCTTCTTAAGGGCTGGCACTGTTGGAGATATACTAGGTGCTAAACATGTTTGGATATTTTTTCATTTTTTGTATGCTTCTGATACTAACAGGTCATCAATGGCTTCTTTTGTGTGGGGAAACCAGTGACAGCTCTTGAACGGGGCCCTGGATATTCAACGACACTTGGTGTTAGTGCTATTATTTAGTTTTGAAGATGAATCTTCTCACTTTGCTGTGTCTCTGCATCTTTCTTCAATTATTTGTATCAAAAATTGCTAGGGTGGTTTAACTATATTCTGTTTTTTCAGCTCATTCCTCTTGGAACTGGCTCAGATTTTGCTAGGACATTTCGCTGGTATGTTTTCTCCTCTCTCATGCATGTTGCTTATTTCAGATTCCATAACTGCTTGGTGTTATTCGTTAGATTGATATTACATATGGTTTGTTAAACCATGATTGGTGTTGTTATTTAATGACAATTCCATATGGTTTGTTAAACCAGGAGAAATGACCCCCACGAAGCGATAGAAAGGATTAAAAGAGGTGGTTCTGCTTATCCTACTTCCTTCAAGCTTCATCTAGGTTTCTAATCTGCAGAATATGCATTAAGTTATTTGCCCCTTCATGATGCAAATGGATGAATTTAGCTAATATGTGAACTCAAGATTGAATATTGTTTAACTAAATGAATAATACTTTCTTGGTAATCTAAGGTGGTTTGTTCTATTGGGATCTTTTAGCCATGCATGGGATTTTTCATGTTAGGCTTAGATGCACATGCACCTTTGCCTCAAAATAGCTTTTTGGGTCTTCAAAGATGGGCAAAAGTGCATTTCATTAGCATGGACAGTGTTTCTTATCTTTGCATCTTTGTTTTATTCATATTATTGGTCACTATGCTTCAGTCGATGTGTCTCCAAAACATGGTAGTTAATATGTGACATCCCTTAAATCTCTCCCTTTCCAATTGGCATCTTTCATAAATGTGCATGATAAAGTAGTGAATGCAAGTTATTAGAAGTATGAAAGATAATAAGGCGATTTATGCTGATTTAGTTCTTTAAGTTTGACCAGTCTGGGCATGCTTTAGTTAAGATGTAGAAAGAGGGGACCATCCCATTTCATTATGTAAAAGTGTATAGCATGTGTATTTGCATAGTCACAACCAAACACTGGATATGGTGAATGCTTAATTCTATGTTTAACTGACGTACTTATCACCGGATCTGTAGGATAACTAAAGTTTAAGGTCTCATTAATTTTGAAGAGTACTTGTTGACAAGAATATTGATGTGCTTCTGAGAAATGTCATTCTTTCAAAATTTATGATTATTTAATTGGTCAATGATCAGCAAATTGATTCATGCAAAAATTTGAAACCAAATAAGCTGTGATACTAAAACTAAGAATGATGATATAAGAAAATCCATTGTCAGTTGATGAATGGATCTTCAATATTTTCCTGGTGAAAACTAGCAAACAGATGGAGATTAGTAATTAGTCAATTTTGCCGTAAAATAGAATTGTTTGTTCATTAGATGAAAGCATTCATCTTAGATAATACTACTCACTGACTCTCTGGTTCACCTCCAGATTACTATGACATTTCTGAGATTGTATTATGTTTGATGCCTTATACAAGCTTGTAGTTCTTCTAGAAAATAGAATTTTAATTGTGTCCCTGATGTTCTGGTAGATTCAATGAAATAGATAATTATAAGCTTGAATTTCTCCTCTTTTATATTTATGTCATGTTTTCTGTGCAGGGTTTAAATCAAAAATAGATGTCGGCATTATTACTGCACATACGGGAGAACAACATTTCTTTATTAATGTTGCTGATATTCACTTGTAAGAGCCTAAAGTTCACTGATTAAAAAGTGATATAATCTGCGGCTCAAAAATACTGAGTAATAAACATACAGGAGTGCAAAGGCAGGTTATTATGCTTCCAAGTACAAAGGATTTGGAAATTTATGTTATGTTTTTGGAGCTTTAAGGGCTTTTATTGGGCATGAAAATAGGAATCTGAAAGTCAAGGTCAGTGTTCTACTTGAGTATTTGTGAGATTGAGAGAACATCCATGTATGATAATTAGTGATCTAATTTTTTTTAAACTTTCTGACACTTTCTATTTATACTGTGTCCTACATTATAGATAAATGGTGGAGACTGGGAAGTATTTCATAAAGTCACTGCTATTTGTATAGGAAATGGCAAATATTTTGGTGGTGGCATGAAGATAACCCCAACAGCTGATCCATCTAATGGAAAATTGGAGGTGCTTTGAGTTTTCTCTTCTGTCTTGTTCTTTTTGGATTTAGTTAAAATAATGTTACTGTTTTTAACTGTTCTTCTTGCACATCATAGGTTGTGATTCTTCAAGACTTCAAGTGGTATGACTTTGTACTTAAGTTGCACAAATTATACAGTGGGTCTCATCTATCAGAGAAAAATGTATGTTTGAGAAGGTAATTTGTCCCCTCAAACAAGCTTTTACCATCCCATGTTGCATGATTTTCATGGGTAATTCACTCAGGGAAACTATGACTATGAGATGTTGTTAAACAACAATCTATTTTATTGAGAAGCTGGTTTTGAAGTTTGGATTGATTGCAAGTTCTGCTTTGATTTGCATGTCAAAGATCATGTTAGTGGTTATTCCATATTGTACAGATTTAAGCATGTCACCCAAACTTTTATTTCATAGTTAAGGTACAAGAAGTATCAAGATAATCTTTCAATTTTATAAATAGCTCTCTTATGTTAGGAACACCAGTCAGCATTTGATGCCGAACATGGCATTGACATTTGCTGCATTGATGCAAGTGCCAAGCATCCAAAAGAACAAAATGGTAAATGTAGAATGTAGATAAAGAAGTTATACCAAATCAAGAATATGAATCTGTAGGTAGAGATTGGGATAAACCAACCATACGCACCGTCATGCCGTACGCACCTCTGAAAAGAAAAGAGTGTGACAATGAAATATTAGGGCTTGGCCAGCTTTGGTAACCTTGATATGACAAGGAAGGGTATGAGGTAAAAATTTGGTGCAGATATTGTTCTAGCATGATATATGACACTACTTGGTCTCGAATGACTTGATCGAGCAATCCGTGCTTTTACAGAACTTGGAGAGATGAGTATTATTAAGTAGTTTTGTTATTCAACACTATAATTTATTGTGCCTATTAATATTGTTATAAATATGTTGCTTATTTTGGCAGTTTGAAGCTTTGAGCAATGCTACATGTATGAAGGTCGGTAGGGTAACTTGTTTGCTCAATTTATTTTTATTGCTGCAATAAATGGTTCTCTCTCGACTCAAATCTATAGTGCACAGATGACTTTGAGAACAATTATGGTTAGGTAGCAATGCAGATTGTTGTGGTGGAAGCTTTTGCTTCTTCATCTCTTATCCTTCTTTAGTATTGTTATAATATCTGAATTTCTTTATTGCTTTGACTCAAACATAATGTTCTGTAGTGTTTTACATTCTACTTTTTACTTTGGCCATTTTCTACTTACTTTCTGCTTTGTGCTTCTTTGTTGACCCTGCTAGACCCATATTGGCGAAAGCCTCATACATTGAATTCTTATTGTTACTTTTGTGTTACTCCATGGTTTGATTTTTGGAAATGTATCTGATGCCATATCTATATGATTAATAATTTGTGCAGTGTGAAGTCAATTGAAGTTGTTGAGGAGATGTCCAAAGGTGATATCTATGTTCAATCTGACGGTGAACATTTAGGATTTCTTCCAGCACATTGTTCTATTCTACCAGCTGCAATCAATTTCTTCTGCTGATACAAATATTTGCAACTGGCTGTTCTCCAATTCGACCATCATGGCCTTCACTTGCAGCTAGACTAGTTTATGGAAGCTTGCAACTCGTATGCTGTGGAAGTAGCTCTTCCTATTGTACTGCACATCTCATTTTCACATAATTTCCCTTGTCGGAGGACTTGTGAAGTTATTAACAAGCAGCTCACGACAAGTCCGAGAGATTAAATATCTAGTAATTGAAGAAGTTGAAATCAATTATCCAGAAAAGTTGTGACAAGATCAAACACATATCTTGATGGTTTCGTGTGGCTGCTGAAGATTTACATAGGATTCCAAGGAAATGTCACCATGCAAGTAAAAATTTAGCTTTTCTGCGGCAACTTACTTTTACCCGTTGTAGTTATAGTATTGTCAGGTTAATGATCTTGATAGATCGTGTATAATGTGTATGGTTTATTGCTTTGGTATTCAAAATACAAATAATACTTAATCATTTTGCTGTAAAAGTGAGGTAATGTTTAGAACCATGATAAGAATTGTCATATTTACTTTCCATATCCTAATATGCCACCTTAGGTAAACGCATTGTCACCTTTTATGTATCGTTTTCATAAAATTGTTCATTCGTAATTATTGTGGAAAAAGTTTTCTTCTTCAAATCATTTTATTCGTTCATTGGATTAGAAGATTTTTAAAAATTATTTTCGATAATATTTTATAAATTTAGGTCCATGGAAAGGAAGAAAATTCTCATTCGAGTTTTTTAATGAGTATAGTCTGTCTTATTGAACATAGGAGAAAGAATGATAGAATAATTCTGTCCTATTGAACGTAGGAGGAAGAATGATAGAATAACTTTTTAAATTATCGGGAAAAGCTCTTTCTTAAGTGTTAAACCAACGAATAGAAACATGATTTTAATATCAATTATCAGGATCGAAATCGGCAATAAGAGGAGGGTGAATTAGTGCTTCTAAGAAAACGTGTGAAACGATAAAATCATATCGGAAATACTATGATTATTAATAACATTAATCACATCGTTTAATTTAAATCTCATTCCCCCTTCTAGCACGTCTCATAACGTCTTGCAGATAGCTTCATTGTCTAAAGTTCTTACCCACAAGATATCACTTCAGTGGCACCAATCAGTTACCAACGCGTATCTATAAAACACTGCAAGGAACTTGCATTTGTCGTTTTGTTTACTTTCTCATCAATTAGGGCGTACTAAATCAGGACCGCACGTCTAATCAACTAAAAGAAAGAGCACTACAATTGTCAATCCATAAAGAATGATGCGCAAATGCATCGTATGTACCCCCTACGGGGGATACCCTTTTTTTCTCGAAACGCGCAACCCGGCGATGGTCTTCGCCTTCATCATGAGGTAACGCGGGCTTGCTTGGACGCTGTGATAACGTCTCCGACTCGATCGTCTCGTTCACTTCTTGCGAGACGAAGAACCAACAAAAGCAAGCAGACACCCACCGTCGTCGTCGTCGTCCGTATCTTGCCGTCTTTCCTTCTTCTACTTCTTGTTTCAGGTGCGGAAACGTAGCAAAGCGCAAGCGATCACCCCGCCATTCCGTCTACCAGACAGCCAATGAGACGAAGCTTGCGGTGGCCTTCGGTGTCAGACCACCTCCATCTTTCCCTGCTTTTCCCAAGTGGTGCCTCCACTGGACCTTTAAATTTAAATCAAGTAGCCGTTATGACAGTCCTCCCCAATCCCCATTCAAATCCCACGCATTAAATATTTGGCCGTCAGGGTAGCACCACCCCACCGTAGTAGATCACGTGATTGCATATGGTCGCCAACCGTGCACCAACGATGATATTATTGTTATCAAGTTGGGTTGTACCATTACTTGGTTCTAATTTGCACGCCAAGTTAGGTTTCATCGATTTCATTTGATTATGCTGTAAGCATAAAATTTATGATATGTTATATATAATGAAAAAAAATTGATGTTATGACTCAAATCAAATAAGATTAGATCGATTTTTACAATCAAATAAGATTAGATCGATTTTTACAATACCTATTTATATCATCTGAAAAAGATCTATCTCTATGTGACCTGAGCGTAAGGAGAATTAAACTTTCCTTCTTTTTTCTTCCTATCTTTTCAAATTACTTAGATTAATGAGAGAATTAAACTTTCCTTCTCTTTTCTTCCTATCTTTTCAAATCACTTAGATTAATGATTTAAAAAAATTATGAGAAACTGTAATCTCTCAATTATGTCATGTATCATTTAATCCCTAGAAGTCATATCTATTTATAGGCAAGAATAGAAGACTATAATAAGTTATTAATAGAGTTCCTCCCATATATCCGAAAAATTTCACTATAATATATTTTTTTCTATTGATAAATATCTATCATCAAAATATAATTAATTCTATAATATATCTTATTCAATTATAAAGAATAATATAATCTAACATATGTTTCACGGCAAACAATAATTAGCCTAATTGGAAGCCTCCAAGAGAGGTATCATTGTATAGGCTTCATTGTAGAAGGAATATTGCAAAGCATAGATCAAAAAGCTCTGTTTAGAGACTGCATGCATATATATAAACAATATGATCTCCATGATGAACGGAATAGTTAAAGCCAAGTGTATTAAAAGGACACAATAAATGGTGGACCAGGCCAGCTCAATCTCATGTGAGCATACATGTACACGTTTATGCACCAAGGAACGTTAAAACATCAGAAGCCAGTGGTAGAGGAGGAGGATCTACAACAAGTATTAAGGAGATCTTGGAATTTGAGCATTGTGCACCACCACCCTACTCTTGCAGCTGTGAACTGGGACAGTTAATGAGGATGCTCCCGTTCAGAACTCTTCCACCTGTAAATTTACAGTTTGACTATAAATATTATAAACTGAACAGGATTCAAGTAGTACCTTTGATTCCTACCTAGCTGTTACGAGATGAGGGGACATGGTAGCAGATGTTGGAATATTACTAAGCTAAAATTTCCAGTGACTTACATGTGCAAGTCATTGCCACCTTGTTCTATCGTCACGCTTGCTCAAGCTTCCTTCTTCTCTGTGATGGTATCTCTCTGATGACCGAGTAGAAGATGACTCCCGACCTAGTTTGTGTTCCTGAGCAGGTGATGGAAAAGGTTCAGCTGGTGCGACTGATATAATCATAATGATAGAGTCGAATTGGGTTAGTTTTTTATGATGTAATTGACGCACATCACGAATTAGCAAGTCATCCATTTCGAGCATATGGATCACATGCCCCATTTTAGGGCGTTTATGTGCGTCAGGATCAACACAGCGGAGGGCCACCAGGAGAGCTCTTTTCAGTGCTTTTGGAGATGGTTTCTCAGGAATCCTAGGATCCACCACTTGCTCGGATTTTCTCTCCCCAACCATGTTCTTCAACCAGTCAACCAAATTCACCTGAAAAACACAAAAGTGAATCATCAATTTAGCTTACATGTTTTGGCCTCTCGAATCTTTTCTTTCAGCAAGCAGAACATGGTTAAGCAGTCAGTTCTGAGGGAAAGGTAACCTCTCCTGGGGGTCTTGTATAATCGACGGGTGCCCTTCCTGATATAATCTCCATGATGAGAACTCCAAAGCTATAAATATCACTTCTCTCGTTCAGCATTCCGGTGCTAGCATATTCTGGTGCCACATAGCTGCATTTAACAACTAAATTAGAGTTGCAAAGATCTTGAATTGCAATAGAAGAAGCTTCAGTATAAAATTCGTCTCAATCTCACCCAAAAGTCCCCATAACACGGGTTGTTACATAACTCCTTTCGGAGCACAAGAGCTTTGCAAGCCCAAAATCTGAAACCTTGGAATTCCAGTGGTGATCAAGTAGAATGTTGCTAGCCTTAACATCACGGTGGACGACCTTTGGTTCAAGCCCTTCATGAAGATAGGCCAAGCTGTAAACATCATCACCATATTTTAAGAGCTACTATTGGTGTCACCATCTCATCAATAATAATAGATATGATCAGCGTTTAATTGCATTAAGAAAAAAAAATTGTTTTTAAGGAAACAGTGAAGAAAAAGTATCTGAGGAGACAGTACATTTCATGGTTCAACAAAAGACAAAACCAGGTCTTTACTGAAAGCTGTTTCTGGTCATGAACAACTCTTCCATCTAGGAAATGGGCCATATTTGGTACCAAATATTTCCTACTAATTTTCTTTTTCGGGAAATAGGACTTGATAAGGGTCACTGACCAGATGAAACCTATAGCATACATTGGACAATGGCCATAAAATATTAGCGATAAAATAACTTTCAAGAACTTGAACATGTCCAATGATCATAGGTTGAAAAATTGATGGCCTCCATCATCTACTGAGTGCCAACTACTTTGTGTAGGTCTACATGGTTGTCATGTTATTCGATAAATGTCTTCAGTTCAGTTGCACGGAAACAAACCATCAGATATATGCAATCCTCCAAAGCATACATGTAAATTACCAATACAATGTCATGTTTAGATTGTGAGATTGATGCCTCATTTGGGTGGTTGGTATACTTACATCAATAATACTATTTCATAAACACATTTTTTGCAATACATTAAGGTTATGAAGAACATGATAACGGCAAGATGAAGTTTTGCCGATCTATCTCCTAGTCCGGTTGTAAGAGAGAGGATAGGGGAGTATACCCTTTTGCAGTTCCAAGTATTATGTTCATCCTGATGTCCCAAGTCAGCGGACTAACTTCTCCGACGCCTCCGTGCAGCCACTGTTCCAGATTACCATTGTCTACATACTCATAAACGAGCATCCTATCCAAAGAAAACAAAGAATGCAGATTAGCAGACAATCATTCCTTGAGAAGCTACCCCATCATAAGCATTTAGCAGAACTAAAGCAAGAAGCTTTAGAATGTAGATCAACACACTGAGTAGAATACCTATATTCCCCCTCAACGCAGTAGCCAAGCAATCTAACCAGATTCTTGTGCCTGACACGCCCAATTGTTTCAACCTCGACCTTAAATTCCTTCTCAGCTTGCCCCCTGATGAAAAGAGAAACAAAAAAAAAGGGAAAAATGAATGGATTTTTCTTTCTAACAATTTTAGATATAGTTACTACACAGATCGTAATCATGCATTATCATCCGAGAGTGGAACAAATCCACAAGTGAATGGAAGCACATTCTCATGTTCAACTCAATGACCACCACAAAGTAGATTGAGCATCTAAAGCACGATTGATCTCCGGTTGGAATCGGAACAACACGAAAACATGCAAGTGAAAAAGGGGCAAATTTTAGAACTTGATCATGACGCAATCTATAAATCGAGCAATCGACGGATCTGTGATTTGGGAAGCGGGCACGCACCTGTTGTTGAGCAAATTCTTGACGGCGACTATGGTGTTATCCGCCAACACTCCGCGGTACACGATGCCGTACCCTCCCTCCCCGATCACGTTCTCCTCGGCCAGACCGCCGGTGGCCTCCTCCAGCTCCCGCAACGTGTACCAGTGGCCCCACCCCAGATGCGACACCTCCGGCGGGCCCCCGCCGCCTCCCATGGACGAGGGCGTCCCGATGGTCTCGCCGCTGACCGTCCCCGTCGTGGATGCGGACGGCGGCGCCGCCGGGGGCCGTGGGTGGCTGTTGTGGTGGTGGTCGGCGAGAACGACGCGGTGGTCGGCCTTGCCGACGTCGATCCGAACATCGGCGACCGAGACGGGGGCGGCGGCCGCGGCAGCGGAGGCGCTTTGATGATGGTGGTGGTGGATCTCGGGGATGTCCTTGGTGACGGGCGCGGTGGAGTCTTGGAGGTGGAGCTTGAGGGATTTCTGCGGCTTCTTGCGGGGGGAAGAGGAGGGAGAGCGGCGGCGGGATGTGAGGCAAAGGGAGATGAGGAAGAGGACGAGTACGATGGCCGCGCCGACGCAGATGCCGATGACCACCCACAGCCTGAGGCCGAAGACGGACGTTTTCTTCGACAGCTCGTTGTTGAGGAATCCTCCGTTCCAAAACGACATCTTGCCCCCCCTCCCTCTCTTTCTCTCTCTCTCCCCTCCTCAAGCACCTTCCTATATAAATTCTTGTATTGGTAAAAGAATCAGATAGAATCGAGGAGGAAGAGACGAGAACGAGGAGGAAACGAAGGCATTCGGAAAAGCTGGCCTGCGATCTGAAACCAAAGTTGACTACAAGCCGAGAGAGAGAGAGAGAGAGAGGAGATTGATCTAATAGTGTACTAATGGCACAACGTGGGTGGCTTTGTTGTTATTAGCGGCCTAATAGTTTCGTGGGAGCGCAGACTCGGAGAGGTGCTTCGGGCAAGCAGCGCATTGTGGCCGGTGGTGGCGAGACGAGGATGCCGCGCACGTGACGGAGAAGTGTCGCTAGAGATAGAGTCACGTGTTTCCGAAACATTTTTAACTGCCACGTGTAACGTCATGCCAGTTATCAGACAGCGCAACGCGTGCAGTACTCGAATTGGGGCGGAACAATAAAAGATCAAACCCGGTCCAATTTGATGGATTTGAATCCACGGTTCGATGTGGTTCGCGTACTCAATATGGTGTGTGTTTAGGTGGAATGTAGTAAAAGAATGAGATGATTGCCTCATGAATTTTCCAATTTTTTATTATTTTGAAAATCCAAAAACAATATCCTATAGTAGGAAAAATATCATATGCACATAAAGAGAGTTGGACTTAATATATATATATATGGAATGTTTTTGATTGGATATTAAATTCCTGCAATTGGCATTAATTACTAACTAATGCAAAGCTAAGAAATGCTTACAAATATCCAGAAGAAGTTTTCTAAAAGAAAAATAAAAAAAGTAGATAAAGAAATTTACAGTCATAATTACTGATTCTTACTCAGCAGTTGCTATTATCGATTACAAAAGCTCCTGATTTATTTTGTCTCTCAGGATAGATAATCCATGACAAAAGTTTGAATTAACAGTTCTCATCAACAACTACTGAAAGAAACTAAGAACTTAAACAAATGCTGCAGATCCACGAGATTGGAGATGCAAGCCTTTTAGCCAAAGTTGATTCCTTGGCATGTCATCTCATCATTTGTAAGCAGCTTTTTGGCATCAGGAATGCCTTGGGAATGGAGCAAACAAATTTTCTTTTCCTCCGACAACGTTTACATTTTTGGGTGCAGATATGTTCTTTTGGGAAGACGACTGTCACATGTACATTAATAAAAAAAAAAGACGACTGTCTTTGTTTCGAAGTATATCAAGCCTTTGTTGTTTAAAAGATCAACGACGAAAATTTTTATGGACAATTCATTTCTTAGTTTCTATAAAAGTTGCATGTATATGATCAAAATTGTGCATATGGCCTTCTAAATTCTCTGTAATATAAAATGTATTCAAGTTTTGGCCATGTAAAGAGCATTGCTATACTATGTATGGTGTTGTGTATCTAGAATTGTGTAAACCAAAACCATTGACATATTCCAGTTTTTTCGAGATAGTAAAGAGTGTTTCTCTAATATGTATGATATATGAGTAAATGTTGTTAAAAACAGAACATTTGAGTATGTCATTTTCTATTTTTAATAGTAAAATGGGTAATACCACGATTGGCTTTTTTTCATTTAAAGTAAAATATCATACATTCATGTAATATTTTTTAACATTTAAACTTCTAATTATGTCATAAACACCTGGTAAAAATTTAGTCTTCAAAAATTATTTCCTTATATGTGATGCATTATTTTTGACCAAAATCAAAAAATAGTGCATCACATAATAGGACTTATCAAGATACTATAAAATTTTGAGGATACTTTTATATTGGATCCATACGAATATATTTCAATGTTTTTTATTTTATAATTTTTTTCAGTATTTTTCAGAATTATTCTATTCTTGCATAGTGTATCATTTTTTATTTTTCCTCAACATTCAAATATCCATAAAAATTTATGCACTCATGCAAATTATTTTTACATTTAAGCTTCTAATTAGGTCCTGAGCACTTAATACAAATTTGGCTCTCAAGAAATATTTCCTTATATTTGATGCACTGTTTTTGGTCAAAATCCAAAAACAGTTATCAAAATACTTTAAAATTTTACATATACTTTTCCATTAGATCCATCCAAATGGACATATTTCAATGTTTTTTTTTATTTTAGATAATATTTTGATATTTTTCTGAATTATTTAGTTCCTACACAATGTGTCATTTTTTTCTAACTTTTTGAAATTTTCACAAAAAATTCATGTACTCATGTAATATTTTGTAATATTTAAGCTTTTAGTTAGATCATGAATACCTAATAAAAATTTGACCCTCAAAAAATATTTTCTTATATATGATGTACTAATTTTAGCCAAGATTCAAAAATAGTGCATCATATAGCAGCACTTGTCAAAATATTCTAAAATTTAGATAATACCTTTGCATTAGACCAACATAGGCTTATTCCTTTTAATTTTAGAAATTATTTTTATTTTTTAAATTCTTTTTAATTTCACAAAGCACAAGCCTCTGCTCTTGTCTTTTAATTGGCATAAGAAGATCATCTTACAAAGAAGATTGTCACAGAACCTCACAAGATCATGTTGGATCACATATAAGCAAACATGAGGATCAACTCCACCACCTTTGATATTTCATAGCACAAGGACAAAAAATTTCCACAGAATCTACGAAGATAAAGAAACAAAAATATATCTAGTGAGGATAAGGCTGTACCATTGGTTTCCGAAGATAAGGTTGTCGATGATGCATCAAAGACTAGCCAAAAAGTGTGCTGTTCTTTAGGTGGACGATGGAAACTCTCCTGCATCAAGTAGGATTACCCTCACCTCCCCTTGCTGAAAGAGCTTTCCCATGGATCAGAAGCAGCTCAAACCTCGTACACCACACTAATCTTCTCCATGCACTGAGATCTTCAAAAAGAAGAGCAGCACGGCTGCAAGCCCAAGGGAGAGGCTTTGGTGTGTCTGTCTCAGATAGGAAGGCCAGGCCAGAAGAAGATGACGGCGTGTACCGCAGCGAAGACGGGGACGACGAGATTCCACAAGTGGTGTTCGATAGGATGATACGACGCATAGTGTTCTCTGTGGGGGCTCCAATGGCGTCCGGCATCGGAGTGCTGTATCTCGAAAGCTTTCTTAAGAAAAGCCAGCTATGGGAAGTACCGGGATGGCTGCCATTGCTGACCATCCTGCTGTCCTTCGGGACGTCCGCCTTGGGGATTGCTTATGGGACGCTATCCACTAGCTGGGATCCAAACAAGGAAGGAAGCCTCCTTGGGTGGGAGCAAGCTCGGAAGAATTGGCCTGAGCTGTGGAAGGACGAAGAAGACGAAAGCAAATGATCTGATGCCTCGAGCTACATAGAATTTTCTCGACTGTAATCCATGTTTACTGTTGCTACTCTGTTCATGCAACACCCTAAATGACCTTCTTCTACGGTTGTTATGTCGGCCAAAATATAAGCTTGATGATGAATGGATAGCGAAGGCCTTGCGAACTTATCTATGACTCTGTAGAATTTCTTACATGATCAATGCAAATCAAATCTTTGGATTACTTGTGGAGTTGGTGTGTTCAAAATGCTGATAGTTGTGTGCTCAATACCAAAACGAATGAGATTTCAGGATAAAGAAGAGGAATGAGGACTGAAACAATGAGGTGTTGAGCATAAATTGTGAGGTTTTAATTCGTTCTTTGAAGAACAAATTTAGGGAAGGAGAATTTTGCAGATACGACATTTAGCTGGTGCTCTGCGTCTGCGTCTCAGAAGTGGCGGCGAGTTCGAAGACTGGAATAGCCACGGCGGAGAAGATCGGGTGTTTGCTCGTAGCCGGAGAACACACATTGCCATACATCAGCGAACGCGCGGAGAATGGTGCCGTGGTGTCGCGGAGAGTTGAGGGCAAGGAACCGGCGGAGCAGCTCCCTCAACCCTGCACCGTCCACGATTTCCTCCTCGACGATCATATGCAGCAACGACCGCCGAAACTCACCGAGTGGATTCTCCGTCTCTTTCACCACCACGACGCCGTCCTCCGCTCTTCTCCCTCCTTGGCTGCTGCTACGACAGTTCACCCTCTTCTCTTCCTTTCCGCCGTAGACGCTCGAAGAAGCGTGGCTCCCCCAAGCCAACACGCTCTGCTCCAGCTCGTTGAGCTGGCGTAGAAGCTCGGGGAAGCTGGGCGTGCTTGCCGAGCTTTCCGTCTTCACCTCCGCATCATCCTCCTCGTAGGAGGAGGAGGTTTCGGATGTCAGGGTGAGGGTGAGGGTATCCGCAGAAGAGAAATCCCCGACCCTGGGCACCTGTGGCGGCGTCAACGTCGACTTGCCGCCCGAGCTGCCAGGCACCGAAACCGATTTGGAGTCGGTACAGCCGCAGGCAAGTGACAGAAACGAGCCACTTCTCCTCTTCTGCACGTTTGTACTCATCTTCTCTTTCTCTTCTCTTCTCTTCTCTTCAAGGTGTCCTGAAGACGAAATCACCACCCAGTACATCCGCCTCCAACTAGAAGCAGATGGTCGGTCCCCTCGTCAGAGTGTAACGTCGATATAGATTGGCCTGCAAGGATCAGTACATGCACACGCAGCTAAGCTCATGGAACTTTGCATGCAGGGAGACTTTTGTTGTGTGTGAGAAGGGGAGGAGGTCAGCGTTGAGCGCAGACAAAAAGATCAACTGTGGAGGAGTTCTTCGAGTGCCTGACAGCTAAGGTATGATCAAGCTGATGGGCATGTCCCAACCATCGAAGATGGCTGACGTATAGGGGGAGGAAGAAGAAGCCAAAGCAGAGAAAAATACAGGTATTCCGTATTTTTAGTGATATATTGGATGTCTATTTGGACATACCATTTGGGATGTCGGAGAACAGAACAAGATATGAAATCGATGTGTTTGCCTGTGATGTAATCCACCTCCGCCAATTGTTGGGACGATTAATTTTGTGAATACGTTCTCATTAAATCATTCGAATGAAATAAATTACTAGGGTTGGGATCCTCGAGACAAAATCTAATTTAGATTTTGATCCATATAGTTTTGTTCTTTGGTCGACTCCATAATAGGTCTTATGGACCAACTTTTAAATGAATCTACAGAGAACTAAAGGCTTATATAGGCCGGCGG